CCCTCCTGTCGCATTAGCAGCACAGGGTCTGTGCCTGCGCGGGACCCTCCTGTCGCATTAGCAGCACAGGGTCTGTGCCTGCGCGGGACCCTCCTGTCGCATTAGCAGCACAGGGTCTGTGCCTGCGCGGGACCCTCCTGTCGCATTAGCAGGCCTTCATGCCAGTGCTGCTGCTTCTCCTCCTTGTTGATTCAGTTGCCTAACAGACTGTGTTTGTGGCCGGGCAGAGAACCCCCCTCACCCAATTCACTCCACAGAACTCTAATAATCCCATCAAGCCCACGGCGTTCCACGGAAAAATAAAAGCCTCATTAATTAATGCACGACAACGTGGCTTCGGGGGCCTGCGGAAGGGGGGAAGGCGGGGGGGTCATGGAAGCCAGCCGACCCTTCCTTTCAAAAGGTAACACCGATCTCCAGAATTGGATAATGGAGGGAGGATGAGATCAAAAATGGTGGGGAGGCGAGATCAAAGGCTGCTCTGGGTCTCTGCGGCACTTAGGGATGCGATTCGGAGAAGCGGGAGGCAGAAACGCCAAGCCAGGCGTGCGTCAGAGCCCCCCCTGACCCCCCTGCTGGAGCGTTATTGCAGTAGCCTGGCTTGTTTGGAATTTCTCTAGGCAGAAGATGTATGCCTAAAAGTGTTTGTTTTATAAATGGGTGGTTTAAAGCACTGAGCCGGTTTGGTACAACTACCAAAGACCCGGTCAGAGGGTCCGCCACGGACTCCCGGACTCGGGTCAGAACAGGCCGCTCATCGGCTCCGTTTGTGCTTTTTATGCACATTTTTAGCTTGGGGGCGGCTGCTGGACTTCAGGGACCTTGTTCATTGTGCATCTCCTCTCCTCCAATTGGTGGGGGGGAGCCGTCATGGGTGGGTCATTATCCCCCAGCTGATGTCCACGTGGTCCTCAACTCAGGATGTCAGAATGAATAACCATGTAGCTGGGGAGGGGGGTATTTTCTCAGCTGGAAACATATTGCTACATCCCTAGCAAACATCTCTCTGACTCATCAAAGCTCATATTTTCATCTGCCCCCCTTCAACTCATGGGAAAACTCACAGTACAGCCCTGGGGGGAGAGTATAACACTGTTAGGCCTGTTATTAAATCTGGAGGCTGACCCCCCCAGTGGCTCTGACCCAGTAATGGGGGAGGCGCCTGCTCGGGGGGGCTCAGCGCAGCTTCTCATCCCTGTGTACATTTTTCCGGAGGCCTGCTCTGACTCTCACATTTTCTTGTGCGCCTGTGTTCTTCCCCTGAACCTCTTTCCACAGAAACACCAAGGAGGGAAGCAGGCAGAATCCACTTCACAACAAACCATGAGCCGTAACCGAGGCACATCCTGCCCCCCCACTTTCACAGATGGTTGCTGACACATTCCTGTCACACACACCTGAGCTGCCGATCAGTTTCCTCGTCCAGAAATGCGACTGCCGACCGCGTGTCTGTTTGCGTGATTTTTACTCTGACACTTCCTCTGTCTCTCTTCTGTCTCTTAGTCTCTGCCCGTAAACTCAGCGCCTCTCACTGGCGGATGCAGAAAATTGTGCAGGAGTCCATGGACAGCTCTGATGATGAATTTTTTGATGCTAGAGGTAAATGCCGCCGCTTTTTTCTTGTCCCTGCTTGGCAAGGTTGTAGCCACTGGGTGTGACCAATGGGTGTGGCCAGTGGGGCTTGGCCACTGGGTGTGACCAATGGGTGTGGCCAGTGGGNGCCACTGGGTGTGACCAATGGGTGTGGCCAGTGGGGCTTGGCCACTGGGTGTGACCAATGGGTGTGGCCAGTGGGACATGGTCAGTAGATGTGGCCTCTTGCGATCCAAGGTCACCACCTTCTTCACCACCTGGACATCCAGTGATATGGAAGAAGATTTACATCTAAGGTAATCATAAAAAAATGAATTAATAAAATGAATTGCAAATTCGAAATCTTATTTGTAATTCCATAACTTGACCTCTATGCAAAGATTTTGCAAGTACATTTCTACTGTGACATTTAGGACAACATATTCGCACTTTCAATTTCCACTGCACATGTCACACTCGAGGTTTACAGATTCTCATTTTATGAGAGTAGTTTAGACAGTTTGTTGCCACTTAAGTGCAATTGATTTGTAGGCATAGGTAAACCTGGAGTACTAATCACCTCGTTAAAGTTTTCACTTCATTGTCAACGTAAACCAGAAGCAGCACATTTTGTTGGCATATCATTGAACCCAGTTTATTTAGTTATCCAAGATTCCAGTCATAAATTAATTTTTACTATAATAAATCCGATTTTCATTCCATATTTAAGTGGGTTGTGGTGTCTACATTGCAGAGCATGTGAGCGGAGCGTGAGCGGTTTTTTTATTAAGGCTGGAGCGGTCGCTCTGTCTCGCTCCAATTTCGCTCCGAAACCACTATGACTCTGAGGCGCACCCAAATTTACCCAGAATTCATCTGTACAATTATCAAGACTGTCACACAAATTGGCCGAGATGGAATTCGCAAAGTATTTCACAAAGGAAACTGATAGGTCATACAAGTGTACTATTCTTATCAAACAAATAGATGACAATAATGTAGAGCAAGAACAATTAATGTGGTGAAACTGTTTCAGTGAGTATAGATTCACTTTGGAATCTAAAAAGACCTTTCTCGGAAACATGAGAGTGTGCTACGCGAACACACAGAGTCCAGAACAAAACGTGAGCAAGTTTTATATGGTAGCATATCAAGTCTATAAAGCAAATAAAAGTATAAAAGCATATAAAGTAAATATTGGTAATCAAATAAATTAGTCATTCAAAGTATGTCTAATAGGATTTTTTAAATTCACGTAACGCTGCCAGTTAAATTGTATTTTATAGAGAGAGAGACGCAGCAGAAGCATCAACAGAAAAAAATTGAGGAATTTAAAACGTCGATGCTTAGCCTGTATATCCTTTAGGCTATTAAGCTCACTGATTCCTTTATTTTTAAGCCTATTTTTGTGTGGAATGCCATTGCCAAACCTTTCCGTTGTTGCCTATATATATGTTGTTTAAAAATATTTTCTGTTTTCTGTTATGAGTGCCGTTGCTCACATTTCTTCGGTTTGTTGCCTAACATTTGTTAGGCATGCAGATTATTTGTCCCTCTTAAATTATAGCGAGCGTGGAGCGATTTGAGTGGAGCGGGAGGAAATTTTACTGTTCGCTCATCAGAATTTGACAACAATTAATTTTTTTGTCAAAACCCATTTGTCACAGGCAACGTAACATTTTTTCACGTAACTAGTGATTCGTAAAAGTAGTACTGAAGATGTAATTGCATAATCACACCTTGAACATCGTAAACTCCTAGATTCTGTACTTGTAAAATTAGGCTTGCACTGGTGCAGTTTCGCCGGCAGGCACAGGTCCACATTAGCAGCTTTAAGTATGATTTGCATTTCATGAAATTACGAGATCTTCACATCATTTAAGTACAATCACTTTAAATTTATGTCCATACTGCCATCTCCACCAACTCTCCAAGTCGTCTCCCAAGTGCAGCTGCACACCCAAGGACACGTTTGGCTGTTTGAGTCTGTCTTGTTTGGGGGGCTGATCGCCTGTCTGGTAATGGAAAGACACACCCCAGGGTGTGTGGAGGGTGTGGCACCAGCTGCTCTTTTTACCTGTCGTGAATTCCTGGATCTCCCGCCCCCACCCAATGACTGCACCCCCTTTCAGGCTTGTGGGGTAATTTATATGCCTGTTCATGTTAGGTGGCACCAGCAGGTAGCGTGGCGGTACAAGTCAGTTTGTTTAGTATGACTGGTGTTGGATGCTCGGAGGGCCTGACCTTCTGCAGCGTGGCTGGGCTACCAGGCCCCGCTGTGTCCTCATGAGCTCAGAGCTCCCAGCGCTGACTTTGATGCTTGTTTGTGATAAACTTGGTTACTGATGTGATTGCTGTGGAGCTGGGGGCTACTTGGGAAATAAATTATTTTTTTTGGATCAGTTCGAGACGACACACCTTATAAAATAAATGTTAAAGCTGATTACACAAATTCCAGAGCATCTCCTGCTGGAATATAAGCAGACTGGGGACAGCCAGGCCTGTTCATACCTACTGTCACTGTCACTCACGGAAAGCCAGCGTCCCAGGTGACCATCTCCTGGTGGTACAAACGTTTTACAGACTCACTGAGCACTGATTTAGCCTGAGGGAAACATTAAACATAGCTTGGATCGAACCATGTCTATGTCTTTTTTTTTTTTAAATTTAAAAAAAAAAAGCTGATTTGATAAGCCAGGCCTGACCAAAGGAGAGGCAGACCCACCGAGCTCTTCAGCGTTATCTTTGCTTGCTCAAGGAGCTGTCGACTTTCCTCAAGGAATCGATATTTCTAATTTTCTTAAAAGTGAACATTTTCTTCGGTGCTATAAAAACAATGCCGGGAATAAATTAGGAGATGGCTTTAGCATCAGACTAATTAATGAAGAGTAGGATAAGCTCTGATTCGGTCTGCTTTTGTCTTCTGTCTTTGATTGCTGCTGAAATAGGAAGAGTTTTTAGGAAGAAGGATCCCATCTTAAAGGAAGTGTCAGTCTGCAATGTGCAGAATCCCAAAATAAATATCGGAAAAGTGTGAGAGGAACAGCCTGGGGGCCAGACAGCAGCACCGGCTTGTTTTGTAACGCTTTTGGTGATCAAAGTGGGTGTCAGGCTTTGTTCCGGTTATCCATTTAGAATGATTATTATCGCTTGGAGCCGTGGCGTTTTCCATGAGAAGAGCGCACAGTTGCATCGCCATGGCAACCGGAGACCCTGGGCAGACAGGTAAGCCAGTTAATGACACCCAGCTGCCCCTTGTTAGCTCCCGTTGCCGGTTAGGCTGTTTAGGCTGCTGGCTGGGGGGGGGTGAGGAGGGAGACAGGACCCATGAAGACATCTTTTATTATTTTATTTGTTTAATCAGGCTGATCCATGTCAGGGGGGACACTATGAGCTACTTCAGCTTTTACTAACTACCTTAAAACCGAAAGGCTCCTGCACTTGGCTAAATAGTTCAGCTCTTCTTGTGCCTTGACTGAAAGACTCATCCAGCTGTTTCACATTAACATTAGTGACACGTGCATGATTATAGGAGACTGACCAATCAGCACACAGCCAGAACTCAGTGCTAAAGTGAAAGGTCCTTTTAATTGAAATGGTAGCTTACAAATCCTGTCCTGGCTCAAAATATCCTCCCTGACATGGATTATCTGCTCACCCTAACTTAATCCTTGTTGTCCCAGGTCAGTGTCGCGCCATATCGTCTCATGTAGAATGTTTACCTTTGCTGTGTTAAATCATGAGTCTTTTAATGATTAGATTTATGCATAGTGTAGCCCCAGCATGTCCCAGCATGCCCCTCGTGCAGTAAATAGCCCTTGTTGTGTTGTTAATGTTTACATTTCCTTATTGTCACGCGTGTGTTTGCCTGTGTCTTGTGTGCACCCGGTCCAGCCTGTGTGTGTTCAGCTTACGTGAATATCCCACAATGTACGCATCGTACAGTTGCGTGTCTGACAACATTGTGTTTCCTGAGTGTAATTGGTTCGGTGCTTGTTGGGTGCCTGATGTAGCCCATTTAATGGCTGCGAATAAAGTGCGTGTTCTCCCCAGCAAGCGAGTCTCCGTGTCTTTCTCTGCTCCCGCGATGCTTCGGTCTGCCCGGCGCCACAATATTTTATGTATCCATATATGTATTAAGGTTTGGCAGCTCTGTCTGTTTGTTTGGGGTGACGTCAAGCGCCGCTGTTTTGTTAGCTAGACCATGAAGCGCTATTTTGTGAAACAGCTGATGTTTAAACAGTTTGTCTTTCTGCAGAAAGTGATTAAATGGGCCGCCGTCGTGGCTGGGTAATGAATCAGCAGTCAGCTTAGCTGAGTGAGGGCGGGTTCCGACAGAATCGCTGCAGACAATTAGCCCTGCTCATTTCCCGGAAATGTCAGAATAAGTGTGATGTTTTGTCATGCTTAAAGAGTTCTGCAAGTTATTTTAAAAATCTTTCTTTAAAATGGACACGGCAGCTGAAAATAATGGTATCGCTCTAACTCGTGCCCACGGGCCGCGCGTCTTTTGGGGGGGCTGACATGCTTTGCCTGCGTGGACGTGTTTGCAGTCTTGCCGCAGATTCTGACAGTGCTTAGCATGTTGGCACACGCACATGTGTACACGCTCCCGCGCCTGAGCCCGACACATAACACCTCCGTCCCAGCCTCTGACATCAGCTGTTATTGGAGTTTGTCAGGAATATCTTGAGTGAACTGTGCTGTTTGGGCTAAAAAGACAGCAACGTGCGTGTGTGTGTGTGTGTGTGTGTGTGTGTGTGTCTGTGAGTTTATGTCTGTCTGTCTGTGCATCTGTCTGTCTGTCTGTGTGTTTATGTCTGTCTGTCTGTGTGTATGTCTATGTTTTTATGTGTGTATATGTATGTGTGCCTTTGTGTTTGTGTGTGTGTCTCTCTCTGTCTGTCTGTCTGTCTCTCTCTGTCTCTGCATCCGCACCCTGGTGAGAGAATTCCGGGATTTAAACATTTGTGGTCCGGTTCAGGCAAGCCATGCTGAGTCAGTGTGAAGAGCTTTAAACTGCTGTC